GCGGCAACACTGGCATCATGGTGTGTGTGGACCGCGCCTCCAAGTACGTGGTCGCGGTGCCCGTGAAGGACACCATCAGCGGCACTGACGCCGCCCGCCTATTCTTCGATCACGTCTTTTGTCGGTTTGGCCTGCCGCGGTCAATCGTTTCCGACCGCGACCCTCGTTTCACGTCGAAGTTCTGGTCGACGCTCTTTTCCCTTTGCGACGTCGACCTCGCAATGTCAACCTCCGACCACCCTGAGTCGGATGGTCAGACTGAACGCGCCAACCGCGTTCTCGAAGACATCCTACGGACGTACTCCGTCGCATCGTCCACGACACGCCGCGTTTGACTTCAACTCCTCGGTTCAGGTGTCCACGGGCTTCTCGCCTCACTACGCAGTCACATGCAGCACCCTTAGCTGCCTCAACTCCTCGGTGGCTCTCCTCTAAGTGTAGAAGGAGACATTGTCACCAGCTTCAAGCACTCCATCGACGCTGCCGCTGTCCACGACCAACCCCCAGTGCAAACGACGCAAGATAACAAGTCCTTGGTCCATCGCACCTCGGTGTTGCGACAAATTCAAGACAACTTGGCCGCCTCCCAGTCCAAGCAAGCGGCCCAAGCAAATGCACGCGGTCGCTCCAACCTAGCGACCTTCGAAATTGGCGTTCAAGCGCTGCTGCACAAGTCCGTCGCCCTCCCATGCGTTCCGCGAACGCAATTGCAATCTAAGCGCCAACCCGAAGTTGCGTGGCGCTTGGGTCGGACCCTTTGCTGTCGAACAAGTTGTGAGTCCGACGAACTACTCACTCAACCTACCCGACGTCTGGCACGTACACAAGACATTTTACGTGGGAAAACTCAAGAGGTATATTTTATATACCATACACGTCTTCTACCAACGACGATGCAACGATGGAAGCCGCTCGCTCGCGCCCCGCGGCTCCTCCACTTCATCGTCCTCCTCTTGGCCGACGAAGTTCGGCAACGGAGCTGGAGCGGGATAGTATCCCGCATAGGGATCCCCCTGCACTTCAAAATACCACGCCGCCTTACGACTTGCCGGGGCAGACGACCGGCCGTTTTCCCACTAGAGTTCTTCCAATCACCGCGAAGGAGCCCAAACGACTCGTCGACGTTCGGTGGACGCAATCAGGTCGTCGATTTGCCCTCTGTGACGGCGCAACTGCAAGATGGATATCAGACAACGAAGCAAAGGCGATCTTACCTCATGATCGCGCCGCCATGCTACGCGCGTCGCGATCCGTGCGACGACGGCGCCCTCAAGATATGGTACTTCGCGTGCCGGTTCATCGCGAAGTTAGTCAGCGCATTGGCCAACTCCGTCGTCGTCGTCGGCCACTTTCCGTGCCGACCACCCCATCCTCGTCGCACCGACGCGAAAAAGCTGATGAACTCCAGCATCGTCTCGTCTCCTCGTCGCGCAATCAACCCCACGTCCACGACCCATCCAGGGTACTGGGCCTTCATGTGCTCCTTGAAGGCCGTGAACTCCAATGGGTGCGCCCCCGCCACCCAAAGGCTGTGCCTTTCCAAGTCGTCATGGCCGTCGCTCCGAAACATCTCCAAGTACGCCCCCACGGGGCTGGCGTCAAACGGGGCGTAATCCTACATTGTCAACGGCGCTTGAGAAGACATCCAAGAAACACCCCCTTCGACAACCGCAGACACCACGTCCTCAAGAGCCGCGGCCGTCTCTGCCGCAGCTGCGTTCTCACTTCGCGCTCCCTGCCGTAAGATTCCAAATTGTCAACAACCCGTTGGTCGCCCAGCCTTCTCTGCCAGTTGAGCGGCCCTTTTCGCTCAGCGTATTCTGCGGTCCAAAGTGTGGGAGGGTGTAAACGTGTTACACTATCCGGACACATCCGGTTACCTTTTGCTAACCAACAACGATTGGTTTGCGTGCCTTAGCTGTAGCGTTAGATAGGATTAACGCTACCAATACATTCTGCCAAGCAAAGAGCATCTTCCTTTGCGGCCTCTTACAGGCGATCCACTCCCACGGCTGACACATGAAATTCCGTGATGTGGTCGGTAAAGTCCGCCGGGCGATGCCGCGCTGTCCGTGCCCCTGTCGCGAGCTTACGGGCCGAAAAGATCCCCTGAATTATCTGAGGTATACATGCAAATCGCTATTTTCGCGATGTTGACAGCTCCTTGCTACCATTGGTTACGGATTTCGACCTATGAGTGCTGATCATTGAGAGTGTGTGTGTTAAATGAATGTGTTTGTGTTTAACCTCGGCGCTGAAGACCCTACAATTACCATGCTGTAAACTCGAAATTATTTTGGCCAATGGATGTCTATATTATCCACGTATGATACAACATGATGTTACCGTTGTCAAACAACTAAACACATTATTGGGAAATATAAATATGTTGTCCGTATTTTTATGTTTCGAGTGTGCTCAAGAGTGATATATTTTTCCTGACTTTGCGCATGTGCATGGATGACTTGAACATGTCGAAGAATGACTTGCGCGAGTTGAGTCTGTCAGTTGATGGCAGGTGTTTTTCATGACTTCCCTACCAAATACAGTACTATACAGTGCTAAAGTAATACTAATTTCATTGCATAGTGCTTCAAGACCTCGATGCAGCAATAGCATGAAATATTGTTGCCCTCTCGTCACATGTCTCAGTCCTCCATGCAGTATATGAAGATGCCCTCCTCACGTCATCACATCAATTCGTGGCAATTTAACTAAAACAGAATTGTTTTACAAGGAGTCAACAAATTTTGACAAACTGTAAGTACTGCTTACTGTGATATACGCAACATGGATCGAAGGCTTCCAAACGCTTGGAATGCCTGGGCGGAACCTGAAGAAGGAAGGAGTGATAGGCATAAGGTCGTGAGAATTCGTCTGCAACGGGACAGTAACGCGGCCATAGCCCCCTAAAATGACTACAGAATGACGCAGAAGGTTTTGTGCACCATTCCTCTTGCGTCCAATGCAAATTATGTATTGACATGAACTGAGTATATTTGGCCAAAAATCAAGAATTCATAACTGAACATCTGATGTTGAATACTTTCTCAGTTAGCTATTAAAGCAACCATGGGAAAATCCACTATTTTTGTATTACTGCCACCATTTCAATATAATTGGACAGGAAAATCCATGTAAATCATTGGTTAATTGACTTAATTGACCATGCAGCCTTCATGGGCTTGACTGATGAAGGTAACTATTCGCATCAAAGAGAAGTGATACAGGGCAGAAAAGGTTCAATGGAAGAGTGCCCACACGTCTTATGAATTGCTTCTGCAAGTGAGGCGCAACTTAAAGTGGTTGTTGCCACGGTGTTCAAGTATAATAAACATTACAGCCTGTAAAAGTTGAGGCACGACGACCGGAGGTGCATGATTCCTTTCTTGAGGGCGCGGCTGAGAACGAATGTGGTGAGTCTTGTTGCTTCTGAGATGTCCCTCAACAACGTGCTGCACTCATGACGAAGTACTTGTTGTATTAACTTAAGAGACCAATTAATTGTGCACGGACCAATTGTTTGTGCTCCAAAACCAACCAATCCGAGAGCGTAAAAATGTCGCGGCAAATCCTCCATAATGTCATACGGCACTTGTCAATTGGCGACTGGCTGCGGCCAAGTTGAAGGCGTCCCTACAAGAAAAGCGTGGGAGGCATGGGAAGAGAGGGAAGCGAATCACCTTGTCCAAGGTTGCGTTGGAATGGGCCGCCACCGCAGCGATACGTGGCTTGAAACCTTTGCCTGACGGTCAGGTTAGGATTAGCAACAGTGAGGTTGTCGTGTAATACCGCAATACATACTTGTCCGTGCATTCCAGAGCTTGTGCTTGTCAAAATTGGAGCGT